GTGATAGACCTGAGGTCACACACATTAAAAGAGAAGGCCCACTTGTTCCGGACATTAGTGTGGTTTGATCCACCTGTGACAATATGACAATAAATAATAAGCTTGGTTACTGTTAGAGATGACCTTCTTCTGGTCTTGCAAAAAAAAAAAAAAGGCCAGACACATAATTCACTGACTGATGCACGAGATAACATGCTGACATTTTCTGTTAGGTACTGGGTAAAGTGCATCGTGATATAAATTTTGATTTTTAAAGCATTTCAACCACATTTGACTCGAAGAACTGTGCAACTGTTTACCATCTCCATGTGCGTGGACTTTTCTCCGGAACGAGACAGCATTGATCATGTCCCACTCTGTTTCATAGCTCAGCTGATGGTCAATAGGATGGTGAGGGTTGTCTTCTGAACTCTGAGTCCACTCCACCACTGAGCTGGAGTCCTTCACACAATCAAACAAACAAAAATCAGGTTATCCTTACCCAGAACTATGCAGAATCATAAAATACCAGTACAGAGCACAGATGAACTGCAGAAGTGATTTGAACTCAGTCAACATTAATATCTAAACTCTCACAGATGAAACAGGAAATGCATAATTTATGAATGAACTAACAAACCTTGCATGCACACAGCATGTTTGATGGATCTGCATCCTCCAGTGGTTTATATTCCACAAGGGTTTCACCATCCTACATTTAAAGAAGAAATAAATCAGATATTCGGAGATACTGATAGACGGATACACTACCCTTTAAAAGTTTTTTTTTATTATTAAAGGGGTCATATGATGCGATTTCAATTTTTCCTTTCTCTTTGGAGTGTTACAAGCTCTTGGTGCATAAAGAAGATCTGTAAAGTTGCAAATACTAAAGTCTCAAATTCAAAGAGATATTCTTTATAAAAGTTCAGAGTCAGCCACACCTACCTAAAACGGCTCGTTCTAACACGCCCCCACATATCTACCTCACTATGTGGGAAGATTTTCATAACGCCGCCCAAATGTTCACGCAAAGAAAGAAGGCTTAACTTTTAGTCTCACTGTAGTTTTGTTGACGCTGCAGCCATGTCGTGAAGGCGCTGTGTGCTTCGTTGTGAAAGCGAAACTACTTTGTTTGGTCTTTCAAAAGAGGACGATATCCGCTTCGTCATGCCTAGTCACATGTGGTTGCCGCTCATTCGTCGGCTCCGCCGGGCGCACCCTTCTCGACCCCGCCGCCTCAGCTCACTCTAGCCAAAGTAGTTTCGCTTTCACAACGAGCACGCTAAACCGGGGCTTCCCCTCACGCTAGGCCGCTGTGTTTTTCGTTGTGAAAGCGAAACTACTTTGTTTGGTCTTCCAAAAGAGGACACGACTACAAATCAGTGGTATTTACAACACTGTTCCAGAACAGTTTATCCAAAATATCCAGATGTGTGCAGCACATTTTATGGAGGACTGTTTACTGATCCTGGGAGAGTAACGTTAGACTAAAATGCCGGCAGTTCTGACTAATGTAAGTACGTTTTCATTTAAAGGATTTGCCACAGATGATACAAACGCGAGTTTTGGGCAGTAGAGTAGCACTTGTCGTTTGTCATTTCTCTGATCATAAATGCAGACAGAGTTTTATGTTTACGCGGTGCGATGCGATGCGATGCGACGCAACGTGTAAAAAGACAGTATAAGTCATTATAATCAGTAATTATGTCCCGACTGGATGCAAAAAATGCCTTGTTTGTAATGGGTTTTAATGCCTTTGTCTCGTCGCTCCGGCCGGAACACGGCATCAACAGTATGTGAGGGGCGTAACATTTCCGTCTCACGCTTGAGGTATTCGGCCAATCACAACGCACTGGATAGCTGGCCAATCAGAGCACACCTCGCTTTTCAGACCGATGAGCTTTGTAAAAATCGACGCGTTTCAAAAAGGCGGGGCATAGAGGAGAAACAATAATGTACAGTATGTGGAAAATAATGTGTTTTTTTTACTTTAAACCGCATAAACATTTCATTACACCAAATACACAAAATAATGTTCTTTTTAGCAACATCATATGACCCCTTTAATACTTTTTTAAGCAAGGAAATATTAAATTGATCAGAAGTGATAGTAAAGACATTTAAAATGTTGCAACAGATTTCTATCATAAAAGAATAGAAACTCATGATGATTTTGGGTGAACTATTAATATTAAATAAATGTTGTTCTTTTGAACTTTCTATTCAACAAAGAATCTTGAAAAAATTTATCATGGTTTCCACAAAAATATTAAGCAGCACAACTGTTTTATTCAAATGAACAATTATAATGAGAAGAAATGTTTTGTGAGCATCAGTATATTAGAATGATTTCTGAACAATTGTAGTGTATCAGCTGTCCAAACAATCACACAAGAATGTGGTATAACATCTTATGTATGTCACAATGACCCAGTTAAGGTAAATCATAATAATTCTAAAACAATACACTTGTTAAATCTAAATAATATTACTAGCAAGAAATAAAGCAACTGACAAAACCCATACCTTATCAACAATCCTGAGGAACCCCGATATTAAATCCTGATCCTCAGATTCATCTGGAGATGAGTGAATAAAGACTCCCTTGTGTTCAAACACCACCTGCAAAACAAAGAAAAACTAAGTATATGTTAACAGAACATTACAAGGTTTGATTTACAGTGACCAGAGATATTATTCTCTCTAAATAGGTCACTAAAAACAAACATTCCAAGATCCTGTTATGGTCCTCTGCACCCTGTGTCTTATAAGGCAAGTTAGTATGCAGCCTGAGGCCTGAACTTAAGGAACTGAAAGCTCCTGTCATACTGACACAAAAAGAATGTTCTTGCAGGCTCCCTTACAATAAAAAACATGAAACTGATCACTGCAAAACTAAAACTAACCCCTGGAAAACACAACCTTACAATAACTTGCCCCACATGAGCATTGCACATAGTTTCATGTTATGATTTCCATAATAAATGTGTAATATTAGTAGCTGTAATTGGTAAGTCACTCAACCATCAAAACATTTTGGTGGTAAAGGTACTTGCTTATGCATAAATAACAGACATGAGAAAACGATACACAAAAAGAAAATGAGGTTCTGTAGTGACAAGAAATAGCTCATTAAGAGAACTGGAAATATTGAAAGCTAGTTTTCTTATGGACTGAATTCACCTGAATTAGTAGATAAACTATCGGTCATCTAACTCAAAACATGTTTATGATCTCTAGATTATGATCTTCATTAACCTGCCACGTAGCTCATGACTCAACACCAGTTAAGTTAAGCACAGACACAACTGTGATTTTGTGTGTTTTCTTAAGTGTTTTTTGTTTTTACTGTCCAAACACCCCAAACACGATCAATATTGCAGTTGTGGCGTAACTGGCAGCGTAAACGCTGCTTCTGGCGTCCGTGTTTTTCGCAGTTTTATCAGCTGTATGTCAGGGTGTTAGCAGCCAGGCTAACTGTTGCTAAACACAGCAGTTTATCAGACCAGTCTATCATCTATTTCCCAGCACCTACAGCTCAAAAAGCTAGTCAAACAGAATATCTACGCAACAACCCATCTAAAAACAACGGCAAAATTAAGCTATTTGTCGTTTTGACCGTGTATTGACTTATAAAACGGCATGCTCTGTACCTTGGGAGGAGTTGTGGCCGCCATGTCGACTGCTAAATCGAGCACCGCTCACGTGCCTGTCAAGAGATCCACAACAACACTGACGAGTCATTTTCCGCATGGCCAACGCCACGCATGCGCACACACATATTTCAAAACTTAATAATACATTTAATTATCCACCTTTTTCTTGTCGTAAAAATGGGCGCGGCCATTTGGAAAATATATGGGTATGGCTTCCGGTTTCATCTGCGTCCACTCCGTCCAGCTATTTTTAGCTGAACAAAACAGTTCGTTTTGCTGCTTGATATTGAAAGTTGGTGTGTCTTATCATATTATTTTATTGTATTATCAGAAATTATGAACACACTTTTTTGTAGTGCAAACAGTTTTTCCGTTTACTGCACGTTGTTATTCTCCTCGTTATTTAAAGTTAATGAACCGGAAGTCTCACCCATAGGCTTACTTCCGCGTTGAAGAAAAAGGTGGTTTAATAATAATCATCATCATCATCATTAGAAGTTTGCAGTGGTTGCCCTGAAACTGCTTTACATTTGTTTACATTTATTTATTTTTGTTTTAGTGTTAATAATCTTTTATTTATATATTTACTTTAGTAATATTATATGTATATATTTACCTGTTAATTTACTTAAAAAGCACACGTCTTTCTAACTTTGTGACGTTGCTGAGTGAAATCAGAAACAGTAATACAGCTATCGAGTTTTTATGTATTTGTAAGTTGTATAATTGGGAAATATAAATTGTTTATGTCTTCTTTTGTCTCGGTTGTGTTTTCTTGAGTCCTTTTTATCTTCCTTTCTTTCTCTTGTTTTCCTGAGAGTCAGATCTTTTTTATTGGATTTTTTAAGGAGAAACGGTTATAAAACTTATGTTTATACATCTATATGCATACTAATCGACTAGATATAGGGCCTATACCTCTTACAACAAAAATTAGTCATATAACTATTATGTATGATCTTTTTTCAGACAGAAATGTCATCTCAGCTTTACTGTTGTTCTTTATTAAAATATGGAATCATAAAAAAATCTTTAAGTTTTAAAGTCTTTAAGAGAAAACTCACATACATCTAATATTGGGTACAACTGACATATATTTTACTTTATGTGTGTTATATTTTCTGGACAGAGTAAGAACTTGAATTGTATTGTCATCTCTAATAAACAATGGTATCTATCAAAAATTCATAAACAAGACTATTATATCAGTTATTTGAATTATTTTGTCAGAAGCAATTAACGAAATTTGAGAACAAAAAGATTTAGTATAACTACAACTGAAAAAATTCAAGCTTTACGAAAGGCTTGCGCAATGCACTGGCTCCACAATATTTGCCCTCGAGTGGTTCACACAGCAGCGGGACTTTTATTTTGAAATGTAACTCGCACTGGCGGGAAACTTGTGTGTCTGTCAGCAGAAGATCATGTACAACAACGGATCTGAGAAGTGAGTGTATTTACGAATGTAGTATATTTCTGTGCGTTCATGTAGACAGTTGTGGAGTGAAGGTAATATTTGACTTGTTTATCCTTGTCAACGTTTCAGATGAGAAGGTCCACAGAGCAGGAAGAATTGTGTGATTTGTGAGTCCTGACACAGAGGAAACCGATAAAGGAATGGTTCAAATAGTCATCTCGAGGTTGGTGCGAAGACTTAAGCTAATTATTTTAGTTAAGACTAATTAAGTTAGTTTTAACAGGTCATGGTCTAAAAGTGCTTGTTGAAAATGGGTTTCTGTGTGTTTTGCAGTAAAGCTGGTGAAGGTCCAGCTGAATGGCTGCTGGTGGAGTTGCAGGGAGAAGTTGTGTCCAGACAGAATACTGGACTTGCAGGAAATCTGATGGGAGACCTGCACTATACAAAAGAGGTTTGTCTTCAGTATAAAGTCCGTAAAAAAGAGAAGAAATTGTATTTTTGCAGTACATTAAGTGCTTTTTATTCCACACTATTTGAACAAAATATGGAAACATATCAAATGAAAACACCCCCACTAATATTCATCTAATTACCTATGGTAAATTCTTGACTTGTCCTCTCTCCAAGGGTGTACCGGTGCTAATAGTCGGACATCACATCCTTTATGGCAAACAGGTCAAACTGGAGAAGCCCTTTGCTGTTCTGATGAAGCACTCTGGACTCCCTCGGGATGAAGAGGAAACGATGGAAACCAACCAAGAGAACCCAACATCTTACACTGTTTCCGCCCTCATCAAAAAGAAGCTCATCTTTAAAACCCGACCCAAACCCATCATCACTAATGTGCCAAAGAAGGTATAACTTATGTTCAGATATTAGAGGCTGACTGTTCGGCACAGAATTCTAGATTTGTAACCAAATGTGAATGTAAATGTTGTTTTGAATGGTGGATTAGTATCTTTGTACATTGTTGTCAGGAATGAGTAATTGACAATAACATTGAACAAATATAAATATTCTAAGTAATGGGCCTACCGTGAATTTGAAAATCAGAAAAGAAAGAAAAAGCTCACTTTTGAATGGACATTTATTGTATCAAAACATCAGTTACAAGTGTTTGCAAAAATAATTACATGAGAAATGTCCAAATTTAAAGAATCCAGCTTCTTTTGCATGTACATAAATACATAAAACATAATATGGAAAGTTCATGTGAGATTAAAAAGACCATGATGGCCATTTCTAGGTATTGTACATTGTGGAAATACAGGTTAGCTGTGACACACAGACTAAATGGTGGCGTTTTATCAACACTTGAATATTTTATTTTGTGAGTAGACGTAAGCTGCCAGTGGCGAGCTGAAAAACAACTGTGCATTTTGGTTAAAAACACTTAACCTCTTCTATTATGGATTGTGAATAATTTATTATTCTCTAATCTGTAGTTTTATGAAAATAACTTGGCATGTTTTCCATAAAATATAGATTCCTAGGAAAATGTGTCAGGATTCTTGCATGTTTAAAATATCTTTGAATTTTACATTCCAAAAATATATATTACTTTACAATAAACTTGTAGAATGTATGATCTAGTTTTCACTGATAAATCATTTTTAAGCCCCACACTCTGTTCCTGAGGAGCATATCAGTCTTAAAAGTTTGGCACCCAGTCTAATACTGAATTGCATAAAATCTGAAAAACACACAAATGTGAACAATGCAATTCCAAGTTTGATTGTAAACATGATATAGCTCTGGTTTCATAATTGCATTGTCATCAGAGTCATCATCTTATATTTGCAGCCTTAAAGGACGCTGCAGTCCACATCAGTTCACTTTTAAGACACAGTTATCACATGTAATGCACAAGCAAAAGTGTTTCATAAACTCAAAGCTTCTCTCTAAACTTGCACACATATGCACACTAGCCTCAGTGTTTAGATCTCTGCCAGAGTTGAATGTGTGTTTTGGGGGGAAGGGAGCAGAAAATGTTAGTGTTCGCATTCATGGCGAACTGCTACTGAAGTAAATCTACTAATTGTTGCATGGGTGGGCTGAGGGTGGAAAAACAGCCCACTGTACACCTTTGATTCATATATAGTAATCTTTAAAACCACCTAACTTTGCATACCATAAATGAGTTACTTCAGTTCACTTTTTTGTATTTGTCTCTCTAGGTAACTGAACATCTTAATTAAACTAATGGGAATAAAAAGTTTGTGTTACAGGAAAGGGTCGTAAGAATTTGCAAAGGTGGTCAGATTCTGTAACATCTGGCTAACATGCAGAATTAGCTAACATACACTTTTTTTTAAATCAATAATCAGTTTGGGGTGAGAAAAAGCAGTAAATATCATGACATCACAAGTCCACATGCCTCTTATGTTAAAAATGATCTCAACAGGTAATGAAGCATGAATGAAATGTTATTAAATTATAAACCTCAATAGAAAATGACTATTAGAAATGCTGTTAAGTCTGTAAACAAAAAATGTAATGTTTATAGTTTCAGGCAGTATAACTGGATATTCTTTTCATGTAATGTAACACTGTTTATACTTTGAAGTTCTCAAGACTGAGGGAAGAAAATTAAATAATGTAAGTATCACTTTCCATGTTAGTTATGTGTCTGGTTTCACCACCTATAATAAAATATCATATACTTCAAGTTTGTTTATAGGTAAAAAGGAGAATGGGAATAAAAATTCGAGACCAATCTTTCCTCCCTTTTTTTTTTTTTTTTACCAAACATGCTGGAACAAAACATTCTAGATGCACTAGAAAATCCTCTTTGGTTGCCTGACATGATCCTTTTCACTGGAGCTGGATGTTACTTGATATTCTTGAACTTTAAACATGTACAGTGTAGTAAATCTTTGTGGAGAACCATACAATTCTCATTTAAATACTGTTGGTTCTATCTATCATGTCACCCCACAAAAGTATGGGTAGCACCACTATGATAAAATACAGAATTATGCTGGATTGTCAGATAAAGGACGTTAAAATACTGACTGGGTTTGGCGAGCTTAGTGTCTTACGCAGGTTTCCTCAAGTGTTGACACACACCTCTCTGTCCTTGACAATTCACATTCTATAGAGTAACAAGTCCAAGCACCAAAATAAACCATTAACCTAATATGAGTGTGTCACCTTAATTACATTAACTTACCATTCTAACCTTTGGCTCAACTTTTTGTTCCCACCTTGGCTGGCCGCCTCCTTATTGTGTGCTTTATAATCACGAGAAGCACCATTCCTGATTTCAGCTTATGTAAATTATGGTTCTCATAAAAGCCCCACGGTTTGAAACTTGTCAAGTAGCCATGGCTAACAACTTAGCTAACATAGCTAAAAAAAAATAACCATCTAACAACCAACATTCTTAGACTTACACATGATCCATAATTATAACCAGGATTGCAGCACCAGGTAAGGACGGGGCCATTTCAAATGAGCCCTGACAGCATGTAGAGATCTTTTTGGAGAGACCATGCTAGGCTTCGGCATTGGATAGGTGATACTGTTCCTCTCTTTTGTTACAGCGCTTGGCCACTATGGCCAGGTAGAGCACCAGGAGTATGAGCCAGTAACAGGCATAGAGGATGGTACCTGCAATGAGAAGAGCCTTTTCTGTCTCACTAAAGGGCTCTTGGACCTCACAGTAAATGGTGTAAACCACGCCACCGAGCAGTATGGCTGCCCACACCGTCACAGGCACAGCCCCAATAAGGTTTACCACTATCTTTTTCCTGCCTGACGTTCCCCAACCTGCTTTGTTAATAGTCAACAAGGCAAAGATCTTAGCAGGCAGCAGGCTTGACATGTAGAGTAGTGAATACAGTGACATGAAGATCATAACAAGCCTACCCCGCAGGAAGCAGGCATAGGTGGCTTTCACCATGCCCACCAGCTGGACTGTTAGCAAGAAGAGCAAAATGTTCCACAACCGGCCTCGGTAGAACAGGTGGATGACTGTAGCCACCAGAAAGAAGGGGAAGAATCCGGTGACCACAGATTCATAGGTCATCCAGAGGCTGTGCTTGTGGAACCAAAGGGCGTTGTAGAGCCACTCTCGAAAGTAAGACTTGCTCCAGCGGGTCTGCTGGTTGAGCCAGCGCAGATATTGCGTGGGGGTCTCGGTTTGGCATTGTGAGCGTGCCGTGAACTTGGTTTTGTAGCCGAAGCTGAGGACGCGGTTGGTGAGGTGCCGATCATCTCCGAAGCTGCACTTGCTTCCTAGGAAGGTCTGGTGGTACCAGGGCTCCAGGAACTGCTGGAGGAGAGAGTTGCGGTACATTCCCAGAGGTCCACTGATGCACTGCACACATCCGAAGTAAGACTGACAAGCCCGCTCCACGTTGAAAGCCATCCAGTAACGGACACTGCTCAGGAAGGAGATCCAGGAGTCGTACTTGTTCAGAATCTGAAAGAGACAATGGAACTCTCGGTAGGTGTTCTATAAAGAGGAAACTTACTGGAAAACTTCTCAGTTGTTGAAAGTGACATAAAAATGACTAAAATAGGCAAACTTCTCACCTGAACATCCCCTCCAACCCCACCCACTTCCGGATCTTCCTCTAGAACCTTCAGCATCTCAATGGTGCATGCTGGATCAAGTACAGTGTCTGAATCACATACCTGCAAACAACACCAAGAGATGTATACAATGATTTAGAAGACTTCTCAGCAACTTCAACTCATATACAACCGTTTTCCTTTTTTCAAGTAAGGCTGATGTTGACAATGATTGTCTGAACAATGCAAGGACTGTTGCGAGGAACTAGTGGCACCACAAACATTGGCTCACAGATGTTTCAAGGTCATCTTTGTTTCTAAAGATATCAGTCATATGTTGAACAATGAAAGGCTGATGACAGCACAGGTGTGCTCAGGACTACAGGTGAAGGTAAGAAGACTGATCTTTGACCTCAGTGCGGCAAAGATTCGTATTACAGTGACATTGAGGAAACTATGAGGTGACTCATGAAGAGTGACAGTAAATTATCGGCTCACCAATATTAAAATCCAATGTTTTTGAAAGTCTAAGGGCCAGTTTTACTAAAAATGGCAAATTAGCGAGGGAGTGTAATTCCAAAACAGCGCCAATGGGCGTGGAAATTTCTGTGAGTGATTTACCGACAGCACGCAAATTAAAGAACACAGACGCAACATCTAATTTATATATCGACCAACACTATACCATGCGCAGCGCAAATTAGCATAGTCGCGAATAAGCAGAGCTAACACTCATCAGGTGTGGGTGATCTACTTACGACAGCGTTTTGGGCGTTAAATAATGGCCAAAATACCAGTAAATTGACGAGCGCAAGTGTTAGTGAACAGTGTTGCATGATTCATTAAAGGGGTCATATGATGTTGCTAAAAAGAACATTATTTTGTGTATTTGGTGTAATGAAATGTGTTTATGCGGTTTAAGGTTCAAAAAACACATTTTCCACATACTGTACATTGTTTCTCCTCTATGCCCCACCTTTCTGAAACGCGTCGATTTTTACAAAGCTCATCGGTCTGAAAAGCGAGGTGTGCTCTGATTGGCGGAATACCTCAAGCATGTGATGGAAATGTTAAGCCCCTTACCATATTGTGATGCCGTGTCTGGCCAGAGCGACGAGACAAAAACATTAAAACCCATTATAAACAAGGCATTTGTGATCGGAGAAATTACAAATTACAAACGCTAGTCTACACTGCTCAAAACTCGCGTTTGAATCATCAGTGGCAAATCCTTTAAATATGAAAACGTACTTACAGTCTGTGAGTCAGAACAGCCGGCATTGTAGTCTACTCTACCAGGATCAGGAAACAGTCCTCCATAAAATGTGCTGCACACATCTGAATATTTGGGTTGAACTGTTCTGTTCAGTGACAGTGTTGTAAATACAACTTAACCACTGATTTCTAGTCGTGTCCTCTTTTGGAAGGCCAAACAAAGTAGTTTTGCTTTCACAACGAAACACAGCGTCACACACGGCGGCTTGAGTGAGCGGACGCCGGCGGGCTTGAGAACGGCATGGCCGGCAGATTCAATGAAGGAGCGGGCTTGCGGCAACCACATGTGACGACCCCAGGCTGGACTCTGATTCGTCCACGGTGAAAGCCGATCCGGCGATCCACAGCATGAAGTTGATGTATTTCCTCAGCGACCAACACGGATCAGCTCTAGGCATGACGAAGCGGCTATCATTATCGTCCTCTTTTGGAAGGCCAAACAAAGTAGTTTTGCGTTCACAAGGAAACACACAGCGTCTTCACAACATGGTGGCAGCAACAATACTAAAGCGAGAATAAAAGTTACGCCTTCTTTCTTTGCGTGAACATTTGGGCTGCGTTATGCAAATCTTCCCACATCGTGACGTATACATGTGGGGGCGTGTTAGAACGAGCCGTTTTAGGTAGGCGTGGTTGACTTAACTTTTATAAAGAATATCTCTTTGGATTTGAGACTTTAGTCTTTGCAACTTTACAGATCTTCTTTATGCCCCAAGAGCTTGTAACACTTAAAAGAGAAAGGAAAAATTGAAATCGCATCATATAACCCCTTTAATACTCCCATAAATTTTGCATCTTAAAGAGAAACTCCTATAAATGCATATTCAATAAGGTCAGGCGCTAAAATAACTGTCCATGCCTTTTCAGCGCTAATTCTTCACTGCACGTCTTTAGTAAATCTTGACAGTACTATTTTAATGCCAAAAGACAGTTTGCGCTGGCATTTGTAAATCTGGCCCCAAGTCATTCGGCATTCTGAGAACAAAAATGTCTGGAATGGATGCTCTTTATTCCTATTATTTTAGTCATATAATTGTGTGAACATTTATTCAGGCAGGGTTCTTTACGTTTTATTACATTTTAGGTTTTTAGTGGGGTCTAGACCTACCTGTATGTAATCCACAGTATCTCCCAGTGCTTTGAAGGCTGTATACATGACCTCCCTCTTGCCGCCCCACTCTTGCATGATGCAGGAATAACGGCAGCTTCGCACCACCCTGGCCACCCGTGCAGCCTCCTCGGCATGCAACAAGCCTTTCCCTCCTCCCCCATCCCCGTCGCAATGGTAATTCCCCTTCCACACCACACAGCCTGTCTGCTCCACTCCCCCCATCACCTCCTGGAAGATGTCCATCATGTAGCCATCCTCCTGCCGATTCCCATCCACCACCAGCACTACTTTAAGCCCGGGAAAAGAAATGCGGCGAATGCTCCGAAGACACTTGCGAAGGTAGTCCGGATCCTCCTGATAGGCTGCGATGCAAAGGGCCACAGTGCGCCGCAGGTGCTGGGGTCTGGAGGGGCCACGCATTTGCCGGTGCTCCAGGTAGGCGAAGAGGCTCTGCAGGAGGAGGTGGAGGGACAGAAAGGCACCGTACAAGCCAAAAGACAGGTGGTGCTGCTCGGTGTGGATGAACTGGTAACCTG